AGATTAAAAATTAATCGCTTCAAGCTCGTAAAATCCAGACAAATTCAAATATCACTCAAATCACCAATTGATCATTTTTATAATTAATCATTAATCACGTCTAAGCTCATGTAGGAGGGTTCAAGCTGATATACCTCAAATCGGGCTCGAAATAAAAATTGGAAATTGGCTCGGGCTAGGGAAAATGGATCAGTGCTTGAATCGGGTCGGTTTTTGGAGCAGCTCAACCGGATCTGGTGCAGCTGGGTCGGGTCGGCTCGCTGGTACAGATCGGGTTCAGTAGTGGCTCGTTGGTGCGCTGGTCTGGGTTGGTTGGTGCAGATGGTCATGAGAGTGCATGGACGGCTTGGTCGATGCATGCAGGGACGGTGCTCGTGTACGGACTAGACCTGCTCGGCACGGATCTGACGTACGGGAGTTGTATGGGTGCGCTAGTGCAGTGGCGTACGGATGGGGAGCTTCACTGGAACAGGGTCGACGCGAGCAATGATGTACGGGCGGTTCTAGTCGAGGATGGTGCAGGTGCGTACGAGCTGGATGGGCTGGATGGGTGCAGCAAACACCGGGTGTACGGACGCCGTGGAACAGCTGCGAACGGGCTGGGACCATGAGCTCATACGAGACGCCGTAAAAAACTAGGACCGAGACGTGTGGTCGCGGGCTGCCGGTGTAGAGGTGAGGTCACCAGCGGGAAAGGCTCGCCGAAATGTGGCCGGTTTTAATGGTGGATGGAGGTGATGTGAAACTAAGGAAAATGATGAACTCTTAAATGAGAAAGATGAGATCTAGGGTTTTTGAGTGAAAAAGATGAGTGGTGTGCTAGTGAAAATGAGGATGTTGTGTATTTATAGATGTGGAAGACTTAGGGTTAGGTTTGGCTGTTGGGCCTTAAAATCGGGCTTTAACCGAATGCTAGTCGGGCTTATAATCGAACATAGAGTTAGGAAATTTAAATGTTCGGGCTAATAAAAATCGATCGGGACTTAGACTAAATTAATTAGTCGATCAAAATAATTAAAATAATTGGGCTCGGATTTAAAAATGAAAATGGGTTCGATTTAATAAATGGGCCAGAATAAAATTGACTCGCTCGAAAATGATTTGGGTCGAGACTCGGCTCGTCCGGGCTTCGACCCGATTTAATAAAATTTTTATTATTCCAAAGCTCGGTTTTACCTTAAAATAAAACCGATACTTGGCTAAATCCATTTTAATAATAAAAAATCGAATAAATTCTCCATGGCATAGACTTTAAACTAATTACTCGATTTAATGCAAATAATAATAATTAATGCATCAAATAAAGAAATTGACTATTTATGGAAATAAAGTTGAGCTCCATAAAAAATAAAAATATTCAGGACGTTACATGTTTATGATGGGAGGCGGAGCAATCTCATGGAGGAGTGTGAAGCAGATGCATCACAGATTCCACCATGGAATCCAAATACGTTGCTGTTTTAGAAGCAACAAAGAAGGTTGTTTGGCTCAGAGCTTCTTACTGGACTTAGGGGTATCTTTGAGTGTGCTTAAGTGCATCACAATTTATTGTGACAACGTTGGTGCAGTCACAAATTCGAAAGAACCCAGAGTGCATAAGGCCAGTAAACACATAGAGAGAAAGTACCACCTTATACGGGAGATCGTAAAATGAGGAGATATGGTTGTGACGGAGATAGCATCGTTGGATAACCTAGTTGATCCCTTCACGAAGACTCTGTCTGTCAATGTCTTCGAGAAACACGTAGAGGGTCTTGGTTTACGATGTGTTGCAGCTAGACTTTGAGTATAAATGGGACAATTTTTATGTCATGTGATTGTATACTAAAAGTTTAACTTTAGTATAAGTGGGAGATTTTTTGAGTATACAGTAAAGCAAACTTTTATATGCGCTTTTAGATTGTATTTATTTGATTTCCCATTTGACTGAAATAAATGTTTTAACATTGTTGCATTCTTTATGATTGCTTGTATGCTAAATGTCCAATTATCTTATATTGTAGACAATGTGGTGTGTTAGTAGTCACACAGAAGATTACATTGTCGGTTCCTTATAAGATATAAATGGTGTTCACAATTGAGAAAGTTATGGACATGACTATTAGTTTAGGTTGTAGTATAAAGTGGATGTAGCTTGTCTTGGCTCTTGGTTTATACTAGTGTGATGCGTCGCATTGAAAGGATCATAGTTGAGACGTGTTTTTCTGTTCTGACTGTTATGAAGAACCAAGGTATCGGTGATTATGCTAATTCTTAACCTTAATTGTGATACTTAGTTATGTGGGGTATTTGTTTGTTATTTTGACTTACCATGGGTTAGAACCAGGTATTGGTTCAATATGCTCCGTATATTAGGTAACTACATTATCTGCATAATATCTATTTATTAGCATTAGGGAACCGTGTCCTGGTCATCCAGGTTGATGACCTTCCCTTAAGGAACTCATAAGAATTATCGTGTCAAACCCTGCAGGTGGATTTAATCTGTACGATAATAAGGTTGAGTGGTACTACTTAAGGAATAAAAGATATTAATTAATTAAAAAGCAGTCAGAAGCTTTAATAATTAATGGACGTGCGATATCTTAAACACGAGAAATTATATTGAGTCTTATAGAAGCCCTGATTTATTTCGGGATAGGATGAGAGTGCAATATTAATTCTCTAGTGGAATGAATTAATATTTATGTGCTCAAAATTTTGTTATGGGCTGACATAAGAATTTGGGCCCGTAGGGAGCCCAAACTCTATACCTTGTAGGAAATCCCTAGTCTGGTCCAAGAATCTCTATAAAAGGAAAGGATTGACCACGTTCTTAAACCTAAGAATTCGTGAGATACTTCAGCCACCATCGTGAAGAGGGTAAGGAGAAGGATTCGAGACAGACGAGAGTAGTCCACTTCTTGCAACTGTTTGGAGGATCGTCGTCCATCTGACGTCCAAACTTTGTTGGGATACAAACTAGAAGATCGCCTTAGACGAATCAAAGCTTCCCTTTTAATGTATGTCTCTGTTCATACTTTAGGAGCATGCCTAGGGTGATACAAAATCATGTATGTACGATCCGTAGGATGGACCGCCTCGTCGGCGTGTTCCAGCATATCATTCTCCAGCAAGCAGCACAATATATGGACATTCCTCAAGTTATGAAAGTTAGTTGATTGTCACGAAAATTTTCAATTAGAAAACTCTAATACAAGAAAATTAAAGTACAAACCATAGCAGCCAAGTGATTCACTTAGCTTGAGCTAATACAATGAGCTTAAACATTGAAAAAATATCTCAGTGAAAATCATTCACGTCAAATAATCATAAGAACATAGATCACAATTCACCACTGGGAAACATAAAACCAAACCACTCCCCAATCAATACAAGACAACTCAAAAGAATAGTTTGTAAAACGAATTATGACAGTACCCTTTGTTGTAGCAAATTATTTTTATTTTACCGAGCACCGAATCGAATGATTTGTTTCCCGGGTCGATCTCTCGAGGAAGACGGTTCGGAATTTAGAAATGGTACTGATAACACATAAAAAGAAAATAAATCCTAAACATTCTAATCAAAAGATTGGTTTTTGATTATTAACTAAGAAATAACATAAACATAAATCTACCTAAAAATATGAACGAGCTAGATTCCACCAATTTCTCCCCTCTCGGTTTTGAAATCGATTATCTCTACGACTCCTCCCCTTTCGGTTCTAAAAGTCGCAATTCGTAGAATTAACAAACTCTAACTCAATAAATAAATATTCAATCACAAATCAAAGTGTCACTCTTTGATTATATCAACAATTTAACCTAAGTGTCACTCTTAGGTTATAACAACTTATCAAGTATGATTTTATCAATTCATTATCAAAAAAATTCGTCAAGATTGAGCTATCGTAATGCACGTAAACAAGAACAAACCGGAATGATTATCCCTTAACCCTAGCTAGAGGATCAGTTGCTCATAATATTATCATGCATATCCACATTTAAGTAAGTCATTCTTAACATAAACAAGATGAAAAGATAACTTACTATTAATGAGAATTCCAAGAGCAAATGCAACTTAGTCCAAGTACACTCCAATGTCTTCAACAACCCAACAAAACAAATACAACAAATACAACACTAAGAAAGAAAAATGGAAGGAAGGTGAAGAAGGGGGAAGAACCCCCCTTGGTTCAATGCATGAAAGGTGATGAATGGTGGTGAAAGATGATCCCTTTTGTAGAAGAAATGGAAGAGAATGAGTAGTGGACTCTTTTCTAACACCACAACCAGGTTTTTAGGTGAAAAATTCGGTCCCAAGCCCCCCATAATCGAGCACCATCAAAACAAGCCGGAGTTTGAGGGAAAGAAAAAGAAGTTGTCTGCCAACAGGAGCTAGCGGCGCTAGGGGGGTGCTAGCGGCGCTAGGGTATAGATGGCCGAGGCTCTGAAGTTCGCTAGGGGTAGCTAGCGGCGCTAGGGAAGCTGGGCTGCATGGCTTTGCGTTTCGGGCTCGTCCGAACTCGAAATTGAGTTCCGTTTTTTCCTATGCGTCGCTAACGAACCCCTCTATTCAATGATGCTTGAATGGCCAAATTATTCTTGAAATAATATTCTCCCAAAGCTCTTGACCTACACATTGAACGTGTTTCGCGCGACTTCGCGTTTTGGACCTGTCCGGACTCGTCCGAACTCGAAATTAGATTCTACTTTTTCCTATGTGTAGCTAAAGAACCCATCTATCCAACCATGATTTTCTGACCCGTTTTTGAGCTAAATTGATTCCTGACGGGGCTTCCGACCTGCACACTAAAAACAAGAAGAAAAACGACAAAATACACGAAAAACACATAAAAAACCAAAATAGAACAAAACACACAATAAACTAACAAAAAGACCTAAAACGGGGGAAAAGAAACAACAAAATAGTACAGAAAAACGTAACAAAAATGGTCACAACACCCTTCATAATATGCTTAACTTGTTAATCTACTTTTCGGTAAACAACTTTGGCACAATAATCTTCAGCATCTCGTGCACAACTTGATCATTTGGGTGAGATATTTCTTCACCAATAACAAGCTTCTCTTCAACCATTGTTGCACTTTTAAATTTTGAAAAACTAGTTTCAAATTGCATTAACCTTAGTTTGAACTTCTATTTGCACCGTCACTAAATCAAGAACTACATACGACAAAACACATCTATCATCAATAGAATAACAAAATATTATGACTTGAATAACAATTCAAAAAGGCAACATATCAAGGAAGAGGAATGAACAAAGCAAAATGATCCAAGAAAACAGAAGCCTATTCCATCATGGTTCTTTGTCACTTTTGGCAAGTAATTTGATTGTCAATGACATAGCATATGCAATAGATTCTCAAATAATTAAGTTAATCTAACTTTTATTACATAATGAATGACGACTAGTTAAGAAAATAAAATTCGAGAAGAAAAATTCCTGAAGAGATAATAAACTACTTAATTAAACAAACAAAGATTAGCATCTTTTTCCAAAATCAAATAAATCAATTGAAACAAGTAAAAATTGAGAAAGCATAGATGAACCTCGTGTAGACATTGATGAACATCATCTTCAACGTCTGAATTACATACATACACCTTAAATGACTTCGCCGAATCACTAATTTGCAAAGCGGATGAATGGGCAACATCTAAACTTGCATTTGTCTTCTCCAATAGTTGAAGGACTTCATCCATAATAGGTTGGTGATATTGAACTGATTTAGCAAAGTGGATTTCCGAAAATAATTTTGAAGCATCACAACCTTTCGAATCCATTAATCGAAAGTAAAAAAAAATAAAGAGGAGAACAATGGAATAAGAATCAAAAGAACTACAAAAAATTGGATTAAAAAAGGAACACACAAATTGTGGAAGATGGATTGGAAACGAATATAAAGAAGTAAAGTGAGTTAAAAAAATAAAGATAGCCATGTGAAAGAGATAGAGTTATGGAAAAAGATGAAGAGTGATTATGAAGAGGTGTAGTGTAGTAGTCAGATAGAGGTAAAAAATGAAAAAATCAGATTAAAAGATCCAAAACGTTAATTATTTGCTTAATGGTCACTAAAGTCAAAACGTCAAATATTTAGAATATGAGGGAGTAATAATATATATAGATTTAGTAATACCCACAAATTAATTATTCCAATATTAATAATTTTCCATCATTAAGAAATGGCAAAATTGCATATTAATACACCACCTTTTATGTTTTTGCAATTTAATCACCACCTTTAAAATTTTCAAAATTAATACATCACCTTTACTATTTTTGCAAATCGAAACATGAATGACGGTTCCGTCAACAAAAATCTAATGAAAATTTGAAATGGCATTAATAAACCACGTCAATGCCATGTCAGATTTTTGTTAACGGAACCGTCATTCATGTATCGATTTACAAAAATAGTAAATATAATGTATTAATTTGCAAAATTACAAAGGTGAGGATTAAATTAAAAAAACATAAAAATTGGTGCATTAATATGCAAATTTTGCCTTCCGAAATTTGTAGGGAAATTGTGTAATCCAACCACATCACACCAATTTTACTAAGCATAGCACACGCGTTATACTCAAAACTTTCCGGAGTTGGCTTTTTCTTCAATCTGCTCAAAAACCCTGACAAGGTGATTCTGAATTGTTTATTTACTTGTGATTTATAGAACTTCATATTTTTATTTACTTGTGATCTGAATTGTTATTTACAGTGGCTTTTTCGGTGGTTTTTGTTCAGAGGGTTTTAATTTTTCTGCACGTTTTGTATTCGTTCTCAGTAATCCTTCGAAAAATTGAGATTTTTTTATGGTGGGTTTCTGGGGGAGAAGTTGAGATGAACCTTCCTCACTTCGTAAATGTTGTATCTTTGTATACCTTTTGAGGGGAATTTGTTTTTCTCTTTCAAATTCTTTATTTGATTTTTCATTTCATTTACTCTCACTTTTCCTTTTACACCTTTTCTTTTATATCTTTTTTTATCTCATAAACTGAAACTATTGACAGCTTATGGATGCTAAGAGCGGAAGGGTTCGTGATGTGTCAGCTGTTGGCCAGCAAGAAACCTCGGAGAATGTTTCTCGAGTTGAGAGCTTGAATCAACGTGTCGATGAAATATTTATTGAAGTTGACAAGGTGGAATTTTTATGGCAGTGCGTCACATTTTTTTTTTTTTTTTTTTTTTTTTTTTTTTTTTTTTTTGAATTACATTTTTTGGTTTGGTAATTCTCAGACACACCGACTCCGGCTGTTTTCTTTCGTTGTCTGTGTGAGTTTATCTATAGTCCTTTTTGCACAATCCAATTTCCATTGTGCATTGAGTTTTAGAATTATGGTTGATTTTGTTTGTTTGTTCTTCTTTTCCTTAATTATAGTGGTGTGCAGCAATAGCGTCAGGTAGAAGGTTCATTCGGAAAGAAAATTGTCACTTTTGGAATTAGAATCTGTTAAAAGATATCTGGACGAGCATTAAATTTGGGATGTGGAAAATTTTGTAGTAATCCATGAATTTTACTATGATAACTTGGCATTGTGTTATAGAATTAATTATTTGTGCTGCGGTAATTGTGATGAAAGGTCATTCTATGCCCAAGTTTATTCCTTGTTTGTGTTTTATATCCGATTTCACTTTTGGCTATTGTATTTGGCTGTCCCAATTCTTGATAATCTCTTATGCCCTGATCTGCAGTGAATCCTGAAATGGTATATAATAAATTTACGCATAAGAAAAATGTTATGTTTGCATTTGCAGCTAGAGAAGAAAGTTAATGAGATCGAACAATTTTATTCCAATTCAAACCCAAAGAATTCTAACACGCAAAGAAGTGGCCCAACTTTGAAGGACAAAGACAGGGAGAAGCTTGCTGCAAACTTTATGAAGAGGCAGCAAGATTTAGCACGTAAGCAAGCGGATGCTGCTAGGAGAAAGCAAGATCTCATGAATCAGTTTGAGAGTATATTGCTTAAGGTAGCCCAGATCACTTTCTCTAGGTGTTGTTTTAAGTTGATATTATCTTAGACCAGATCATTGAGCTCTCTCTCGGATTGCGATTGTTTCATTAAGTTTCTTTGCCCCATTTCACTCTATATCTGGTAACTTTTCAGTTTTTGGATGGACTAGAAGTCGAATTAACTGTGTATTTATGTATATCAATACTTCACATTTATCTGGTTCGTTCTATTTTGGTATGTTATATTGCATTTATTAAGTATCAAAAAACCAGTCTAACCAGACATCTTTGAAAATACAAAATGAAAAAGACACATAGATTAAATGAAAATTTAGAGCCCAGTTTGATATGTAGATTGTGAATGTGCACAGAAATTCATTCATTGAGTGTAACTTATGAACAGAATTTGAATTGGTATCCGAAGTTCAGGCTAGCATGCAAATCAAAGGTTCTCAATTTTACCTCGAAGCAGGATTGTTGAATCGAATTCGAGAAAGCAGATCTTTCTTCAATTCAAGTATGCATGTCCAAAGTTTGTGCTAATATGCAATTGCAATTGAATTCAAGCTGAAAATTGGATCCTATTCCCAAAAATGAACACTGCTAGGTACTACAGACTATAGAATTCTTTAAGTGTGCTGCAGTAGCATTTATCCCTTTAATTAAAGGGTCTGGAACATTGAATATTAGTGTAGCATAACACGAGCATCGTTCCGAAAGTGCTGAATTACCAATTCCATATTAATAGGTTGATCTTATTTTGATTACTTCTTTTTCTTTATTTTTCACTTGTCAGATGACTCAACTCAAGTGGGCAGCACCATTTTTGAAACCTGTGGACGTGGTTGGGCTTGGTTTGCATGACTACTATGAGGTTAAGCTATCAAACTTTATACATTCCCCTCACTATATCAAAAGACTATTAATGGTTATTATTATGATATCATTAGTCACAGGTAAATATGAAGTGTATGAGCATGATAGAAGTGAAAAACTCTGTCCAGCAAAAATATTTAGTTGATTCACTTGTTTTATCCTTTTAATTCACCAGGCATTTCCCAGGCTTTTCTCAATTTTCCCGTGTGCTGTTTCTTCATGTGTTTTTTGCGAATATATTATTTTGTGTTTTATTGTAGGTTATTGAGAAACCTATGGACTTCAGTACGATCAAGAGCAAAATGGAGGCCAGGGATGGTACCGGATATAAAAATGTCCGAGAGATATGTGCAGATGTGAGGCTGATATTTAAGAACGCTATGAAGTATAATGACGAGAAGGAAGATGTCCATGTTATGGCTAAAAGCTTGTTGGATAAGTTTGAGACCAAATGGCTGAAACTCCTGCCCAAAGTTGATGAAGATGTATTGATTTATTACTTTTGGATAATTTCATGCGTTTGTGCAGTTAATGCTGTTAGGTTTTGCTAGAAGTTAAAAAGATAGTGTTATCTTCAATGGATTCTAATTGATTTTTGACAAGACATGTTAAAGTGTTTAGTATAATTGTGGAAGAACTTAGTAATCGTTCACTAAGATAACCTTTTGACACGTGTTTCTCATTATAAAAAAACTAGGGGATGGCAGTAGTCAGATAAATACGAACTTTAAGGGGGTGGGTGAGGTTAAGTAGGTATTTGTAATTTTGAAAGATAAGTGGAGTTTCTTAGAATTAAGCTAGACCTCAGGGGTAGTTTTTGTAATTATCTGCTCTTCAATGAACTCTATAGTTCTGTCAGAATTAGCAGGTCGCTTAACTTCTTCTTGTTTTTAAGGAAAAACTGCGAAAAGAAGAGGAATCCGAGATGCAACTCGATATGCAGCTCGCTCAAGAGGTTGCTCAGGCCAAATTGGTGAGACATTTGGGCTTTGAGGTTAGTGCACGAAAGACTCTTTATCTCTTTTATTGTATGTATATTTGGGTAACCTACAGATAGCCATACAAAATCCTCTGCATAACCCATTCTCAATTTTTGCAGCTAGACAAGGTTGATGCTCATCTGAAAGAACTCAAAGAAATAGCTCTTCAGAAATGCAGGTTTGTCAACTCATACTTCTTTTTGAGTCTTCTGTGGAGAATTTTTTATTTATTTGTTTATTTTTTTTTCGATGATAATAGTATGATCATCTGTTTTCCCTTTCCACACTAATCTGCCTCAGCTATTTTGAAAAGTTTATCAATATATAGTATATGTAGGTTGTTGGCGGCTTTACACTAATCAGCCACCTGTCACTATTGTAGTTGGTATATTTTATAAAACACTTTTTGATGACGGTATAGAACTTTGGTTCCTTTATTTGCATTAGGATTTGTTGAGTATATAATATATCCTGTCCCGTCCTGTTCCGTGAAAAGACAAAAGTTGAGTGAAAATTCTCATGTTAACGATATTCACGTGCTTCTTGGCCATGTTTATTTAACACAAAATGTATAGACGTCAGTAAGGAGTAGTTATCAATATATTAGAGGATTGTTTTTGTAAGCTGGCATCATTAGGAGCATTTGCTCAATGATTCATTCCCCTCAAATTTACACCCTGCTGAGATCATGTTCCTTATGTAAAGATGAATCTCCTTCAATTTTTTTGCACTGTAAATGAAGAGTAGCTTAAACATTCAAGAAATCATTATTCTGTGTCAGTTAATGAGTCCAAACCTCTAGCCAATTTAGTCAAAATGGTAAATACCGAGAAAATAATTAGCTATCTCATCGTTTCAGATCTGAGATTTCTTTTCCTAATGAAATCATTTGGGTCAAATTGGATTATAAAGAATTTCAGCTCAACAGCAATTTATTTCCATCTGGGTGTTGGACTGGGACTTTCAGTAAAAGAGGAAAGGAAAGACCTAAAAGGAATTTTGACGAGATAATTAGAAAAAGACACGTTATAAATAGGACTAAATGAAAATATTGTGCTTGAACAACAACGACGAGGTAAATATGGTCCATATATAATTGGAAAAATTGGAACATGTTTGTGGGATCTATTTAGTTTATGTTTGGTAGCTTATTTGGTTAGTTTATAAGCTTCCTGTATTCAAATATGTCTCGTTTGGTAGGACGAGCTTTTTTAAAAAGCTCGAGCTTATCTCATAAGCTTCTTTAGGTAGCTTTTCAAATAAGCTATTTGAAATTTTTATTTCAACTAGCTTATCAGCTAATTTTACAACACTTTTATCATATAAGCTAGCTTTTCAATTATAAGTCATAAGTTATAAGCTTTAAGCTCGAAAATTACATATAAGCTATAAGGTAGTTTTATCAAACATAGCCTTATTTTATTTTATTTTCAATGTTTGAGAGGTTCATATAATACTGAGTGATTATCATATCATCGTGATTACAATTTAATTATTTATTTGTGCAATCTTCAGAAAGATGACGACTGAAGAAAAGAAACGACTGGGGACTGCTATCACTAGGTTGGCACCCGACGATATCAACAAGGCTCTCGAAATCATTGCCCAAAATGAACCTACCTTCCAAACTGCCGGAGAAGTTGTGGAAGTCGACATAGATGCTCAGGTATTCCAACATTCTCAATTTACTATGATTCTCTTATTTTTTCAACATCTGTTGCTATATTTAAAAGTTCAACCTCCTTGATAGACCCTGCATGAGAATCTGTAATCATTGAAGATCATTCGGCTTCTCCCCTCTTTTTCTCTCTATGTTTTTTTGTTTTCTGGGAGATTCCCAAATTCTAAACAAATTTGTAATTTGCAGAGAGAGTCCACCTTGTGGAAATTGAAATTGTTTGTCAAGGATACTTTGCAAGCCCAATTGGTCTCGAAAAACCCCACCTTGAACAACACCACGGACAGTGGCGTGATTAATCCGATTGGAAGTAACAGGAGAAAACGAGAGTTGTGTGATGCCCTTGCCAAGAACTCGCACAAAAGGAGCAAAAAGCTCCCCGGCTAACAAAATATTTCACCGTGTAAAACCTTGCCTATTCATGTAAATTGATTTGTGCTGTTGTATAGGTGCAGTGCACTGTAAGAAGGTTTCTTAACCATGTATTTTCTGACTGGCTAGTATGTTAAGAAAAAGATGGAATTTTCTGTGTTGATACCTTCTTTTAAGTACATGTGTGAAATGTGTTGAAAGCGTTAAAGCTATCTGCATGGCGCAAAGTTTTCGTACTGCGCAAGTCACAGATCTAATGTACAAAAATAAGCGTGAGCGCAGTGGATATAAAAGGTGGATGGAAGACTTATGACTTAAATTATGCAGACTCTGAGACGATTACACGACCTACTACGGGTCAAGATGAACGGTTCTAATATTTTCTTCTCACCTCATCCTCCTCGCCTTGCACTTGTGTCCGATTGCATCTCGCCGATCACACGTCTCGCAGGCTGTACGCGATTACTAGGTGTCGCTCGGTTGGTGTGTTGGTGGCATGCCATATCTCGCGACTCGGGTGCATCGTGTGCTAACTACTACAATGCAGCGTCCAGCGTGCTGCTGCATGCAGTCACTGCTCGACTACGGTTGGCTCACGTGAGGCTGGGTTGTGGCGGTCGCGGCTTGAGCGCGACGGTGCATGGGTTACCTTGGGTGACTTTGGATCTTCTGTTGTATGATCCGACACCATTTCTATTCGTCTTGGTAGACGGCGTGCTTGTAGATCTCTCGATCGGGATTTCTAAGAGACGAGGAGTGTGTTTTTGCGTGTATACTTATGTCTCCCAAATCCCAAGATATGTGGTGTATTTATGGGCTACAACAAGGTCCCTAAGGAGGTGTTAAATATGAGCTTCCCAAATATGGGTTTAACTGTGAGCGGAGCCCACTCTGCTAATACTTGAATAATATTTTAGCCCACTAAAGAAATATTATTGCACTCCCCATTTAGCTCCCAAATTGCATTTGAGGGTCCAATTATAATTACTCAATTTACCTTCCACCGTTTAGGATATAATTTTCATCAATTTATTTAATCACTGGCACTATAATTAATTGAATACTTTAACCGAAGCAAGTGCTACTCAATTCTTTATTATTATCTCAAAACTCAATACGTCAGCAGAGCTTAACATAATAATCCTTCTTGAGCCTATTCAGGGACAACACACGGTGACCGTAATTATTTGAACAACGCACCATACACACAACATCACCACCCAACTCACATCAGACTATTGACCCAGCAGACTGTATCTCACTTTTTAGTGAATCAAAGTAGAGGCTAATGTATTCACGTGCTTGTTTATATCGTACGAGTTCAAAGCACACAGTAATTAACCGAGGTCTACTTCATTTACTAGGTCAGTTGAAAAGAAACTTATCCTCTTTCGGATCCGTTTAATACACAAAGTGCACTAGTGCAATCAATTAGTCAAGATAGACTGTACAATTGACACTAAAACCATTCATGGTGTGTTGCTCATTTCCATTTATGTTGTGAACTAATTTTTCATGTTTTTACAAGTAACTGACAATATGATCTTCTGTTCATCAGTGATAAACCATAATTATCTAAGTGTAAAACATCAGAACAGATAACTATTTAATTAAACATGATTCCCATTCAACAGTAATATTGTAAATAACTCATAGAGCCAAGCTTTTAGTATATACACTAACAATCTCCCACTTATACTTAAAGCTTCCATTTCCTAGTATACATCTTTCAATTTTTATTCTAAAAGACCCTTGTCGATCATATCGTCAAACATCTAACTCCCATTATCTCCACGTGTCTGTCGAAGAACTTCGTCGGCACACTCTTCGTGAAATGATCACATAGGTTGCCCTCCGATGCCATCTTGAGAACCACGATATCTCCTCTTTTGACGATTTCTCATAACGGGCAGTACTTGAACTCTATGTGTTTACTCACCTTATAGGCTTGTGGCTCCTTCGAGTTTTCTACTGCACCATTGTTATCACAGTAAACTGTAATACCTCATGGCAAACTCAGCACCACATTCATGCCCAATAGGAATTTCTTGAGCCATACCACTTCCTTCGCTACTTCAAAAGCTACGACGTACTCGACTTCCATAGTGGAGTCTGTCATGCAATATTTTTTCTGGACACTCCGCCGTACAATGGCTCCACCTCCTAGAGTAAACACGAACCCTGAGTTAGATTTACTTTCCTGATTTAGATTTACTCTGTCGATCTGCACTCATGTTTGGTATTTTTTCTCAGGGAACAATAGGACTTTGCAAAGATATAAAAAACTGAAAAGGTACTGAGACCGACTACTTATAGAGTGTTCAAAGGACTTCAAATCGATGCGCCTCCCTAGATATGTATATTGACCAAACATTTCGAAATTGCACCATTTATTGTGCAAGTTATGAGTCACAACTCCTGAGCACGCCACGTGTTCCCCCTTCATTTTAGAAAAGACATGATTCCTGAGATGATTCTGTCACCCTAGAACAACAATTTTCTCTCTATTCATTTAATATATAGCCAAAAAGATGCGTCCCCAAATATGAAACATCCCCCATACCTCATTACCATTCAGAGATTGGTTGTCACTTAATATTGTAAAATGTTACATTATTCACGATAATTTTCGATCGACGTGTAGCTTTTCCTGCCCATCGAGACCTGCAAATCTGATGACAAACCTGGGGGGCCTCTTATTGTATGAAATTTAATACAAAAGATTTAATTGGGCTTACACTTTCTGTTTTGGGCCCTGACAAAAGGTCAAACATATATGAGACATGGATATGGGCAATTATCCTAGTCGATCCATTAATAGAGGTCCAATGGCGACCTATCGACAAACCAACCAACTTGGTTCGTCGATCTGGTGTGAAAGAGAATAGAGAAAGCGGCCGCCCAATCATGTCTCATCCTCAAAAGCATCGCTGCCACATGTCCATGCATGCTACATTTTCAGGCACGTGTGCGCTAGACACACCCATAGTTGGCATGTTGTAATCATGATCTTCATTTATAGATTGTATAATTAGATTAAATTGTTCTTTTCAAGGATAGATCAATCTATCATTTGCAAGAACTCATTAAAAGAGCAATAAATACTCATGTGTCGATCTGTATATCGTGGGCGATAACTATTATCTAGCATTTCTACCGCTTTTATTCTCATAATCCACACGAATTAGCTAGTGTTTGATAACTCATAGTTATCAAAATTCTATAAAGCAAGATTTGCCGAAATTTATTAGGTTTACATATATCTTTTTTTTTTTAGCCGGAATGATAGAGATATTATATATAAAATGCACAAATCTGCAAAGAGCAGCCATCAGCTGATTACAAACAGCCAACAGCTGAATACAAGCAGTTAATAACTGAAAAAGTGGGAGGACAGGTCAAAAGACCGCCTAGAACCGACCCCAACGGAGTAATACTCAAAAACACTAAAAAACGCAACAAAAAACAACACAAAATAGAAAGTTTTATGTCCATTTAATCTAATTATGTCGGTTGAAATTCAGTTGATGTGGACAATGCTCGATACCTTCTTTTGGAAGAACCAATATCCGGCTAAATGGAAACAGTGAAATAAAAAGATAAAAAAAATTGTTATTTTTCATGTGCTCATGTTAGAGTTTTCTCTAAAAGGAAAAAAATAATGCCATATTTAAAATATTTCATTCCTTCATGATATAATTTATTGTGTCCTTGACTCTAGGCCTCAATACAAAGTTGAATTTGATAATTTGGAACTTTCATAAACCTCTTGAGCCAGAAAAACAAGTATAATTAATCCACCATTACCTTTGTATGATATCACTAACTTAGTGGTATGTGCTGTGGCACTCTCTTTTTAATGGTTGAATCTATGGTGTTACACACTAAAATTAGGTGGCGTATAGAAGATTGTAAGATAATAAGATTGTGTGATGGCTTTTTCTTGGTTGGTTCAATTAATCCCATATCCACACATTGTGATTGGCCGTGTTGTGCACACAATTACGGAAAAAGGTCCCGGGACCTATCTTAAGTATTACGGACTTATTTTAATTGTTAGATATTCTTAATCAAGAGTAAGTGGAGAACTAATATTGATCCTCTTTAAAAAAAAAGATATTTTTAAGCATGAATATTGCCCAATAGTTTTGAAATTGTGGAGGTAGGTAGGTGGCTTTGGCTAGTGTTACAAGAAAAGTTTTGAAAACCGAACCGGTCATCGAACTGGTGAAACAATTGGTTCGATAGTGCACTGGTTGAATCAGTGGTCGAACCGGTTTAATTAATATATAATTTTTTATATATTTTATATGTATAATATATAGTTGTATATATTTTTTTCATTAATTTTATAGTGTACAATGACATTTTTGTAAATAAGAGTTCAATAATAGATACATTTGACAATGTTGAATAATGTTGATAACTTTTTTTATTTTATTTTTTAAATTTTAAAATTTGAATCAGTATTTACGTTAAAAAAAATCATATATACAACAAGGTTTGTATTTTATTTATAAATCCGATTTTAAGCTTTTTTATTAATTAAAAAAAATTAAATTATGTGCATAACAATAAATTTCTTTCTTTCTAATTTATAAATTAGTAATAGAATTAAAAAGCATATATTAACATTTAGTCATTTATAGTGGAAACCTCAAATTTTTATCCAGTTAGATGTAGAGCCAATTTTCATAATAGATATATACTAATAAAAAAAATTTAGTCATTTAGCCAATTTTTCCAGAACAGAATAGAATAAAATTTGGTGCAAATTCTTGTTATATTTGAAATGAAGGATTTGGTCAGCCAGTTGATTCATATGTACTTTTTCCAATAGTAATTTGGTGCAAATTATTGTTTAATTGTTATCAGTCCGTTGATTCTCAATGCCAAAGCCAAGGTCCACGTAAGGCCCATAGATACAACCCATAGATGCAGCCCAGTTTGATAATAGAGTAGTAACATGTCCCACATCAGATAGACTAAGAGGAAAAGTCTTCTATATAATGATTTTACATACACTTTTTTTCTAAAGCTCAATTGGACCGCTGGCCGTTCGAATCGCTACCGGTTTACTGGTTGAACTAGTTTTCACCAGTTCGGGCGGTTTGTGAACGGTTTTGTATCTCGGTGGTCAAACCGGACCGGTGTGCTTGCCGGTTCCCGGTTGAACCGGCCAGTTCGGTCCGATTTTCATCTCGCTTTGAATACGAAATAAATTTTTCACCGCTAAATAATAAATTATTTTTCACTTCACAAAGTGCAAAATAAATTATATGATTGGAAAAAACCACTGTTCTAAAAATCGGCCTAGGCGGCTGCCTAGGCGCTAGGCGGTGCCCGGGCGCCTTCGATTTACACAAATCGGAAGAAAAAATCGGCCAGATGGCGCCTAGTCGGGCCTTAGGCGCTCCTAGGCGGGCTCGGCGTTCAGGCAGTTAGGCGGCGTCTAGGCGGCCATAGGCGCTCCTAGGCGGGCTCGGCGGCAATTTTTCAATTTTTTTTTTATTTTTTTATATTTTTTTAAATACTAATTACATTATTTTGTTTTCATGTTTTCTTTAATATATATTAATATTATTATTTAGGTTTTGGTGTGTGAATTTATTATAAGTTGAGATAAATTTATTTTGTAGGTAGTTAAAATAAATAAAAAATAAGGTATTTAATATTGATTTTTGGGCTCCGACTAGGCGCCGCCTATGCCCTGCCTAGGCGCTCTAGGCGCTGGTCGAACGCCTATCGCGTGTCTAGCGACTTTTAGAACACTGGAAAAAATACTTTTCACATTGGTTAAAAATTATTTCACATCAGTTAAAATCCCTTTTTAAAACCAATATTGAAACAACCGATTTTAACAGATTCTGGTGTAGTCCGCCAGAATCGTCAACAGGTTCGCCGCTGCTCATGAACATGGTCGGCTGAGAAATTGGTTTCAACACCATCTTCAACGTCGGAGAAGAAATTGGCTTACAAACACGCCGTTGGGGTTGAATTGAAGAAATTAGCAGAGAAAATGAGCAAATTGTCGGATAAAGCGGCGAAGCCGAGCGTGCCGGCAGAGTTGCCGGGAGGTAGATAGATGGACTGGTTACTGGTAGCATTAATTTGGTAGCATTAAAAATGAATTAAAAGCATTAAGTTAAATTAGGCATCATTAATTTATTTAATAGCATTAAAAGTACTTGAATTAAAAATGAACCTTATTTGGCCTTTTTTCTCAATAAACTATCTCGGACTACGTCGTGATCGGGGCAGTCGTGATGCCATTTAGAAAGAAGAGAATTAATTTTTATGGCAAAAAATACTCCAACAATGCTTTTTACGTTGGTGGAGGGCAACTGTACAAATAAAAAAGTCAAGTCTAACCCTAAATTTAATATTTTTTATTATATTTTGATTGCACATTTAGTTGACACAAAATACATATTTAGTCATTGATGATGCATATTTAGTTGATATCAAATGAATATTTAGTTAATCCATAGTGCATATTTTTTATATTAAAATTAAATATATACATGATGCATATTTAGTTAATAAGAAATGCATATCTAGTTCATCCATATTGCATATTTGTTATATTTAAATGAAATATATATATGATGCATATTTAGTTCATTCATGGTGCCTATTTAGTTCATACGAGATGCATATTTAGTTCATCCATGGTGCATATTTGTTATATTTAAATTAAATATCTAGTGATGCATATTTAGTTACTTTATGATGCATATTTAGTTCATCTACAGTGCATATTTGTTATATTTAAATTAAATATATACACGATGCATATTTAGTTCATCTACAGTGCATATTTGTTATTATTAAATTAAATATATACATGACGCATATTTAGTTAATTCATAATGCATATTTAATTCATACGAAATGCATATATTCATGATGCATATTAAGTTCATACGAATGCATATTTAGTTCATTCATGATGCATATTTGTTATATTTAGATGAAATATATAATGATGCATAGTTAGTTAATTTATAATGTATATTTAGTTAATTTATGATGCATATTTAGTTCATTTATATTGTATATTTAGTTCTTCTATAGAGCATATTTATTATATTTAAAATAAATATATAATGATGCATATTTAATTCTTTCATGATGCATATTTAGATCATTGATGATGCATATTTAGTTAATACGAATTGGATATTTGTTATATTAAATTAAATATATAATGATGCATATTTAATTCACTCATGATGCATATTTAGTTCATACGAAATGCATATTTAGTTCTTCCATGGTGCATATTTGTTATATTTATAATGATGCATATTTAGTTCATTCATGATGCAATTTAGTTAATTGATGATGCATATTTAGTTAATCCGAAATGCATATTTATTATATTTAAATTAGATATATAATGATGCATATTTAGTTCAATCATGATGCATATTTAGTTCATTCGTGATATATATTTAGATAATTGATGATGCATATTTAGTTAATCCGAAATGCATATTTGTTATTAATGATGCATATTTAGTTAATACGAAACGCATATTTAGTTCATCCATAGTGTATATTTGTTATATTTAAATTAAATATATAATGACACATATTTAGTTCATTGATGATGCATATTTAGTTAATACGAAATGCGTATTTATTATATTTAAATTAAATTTATAATAATGCATATCAATTAATATATAAAGAGACAATGATATTTACTTGAAATAATTATTAAAAATCTGTAAAAAAAACATTGGTTTCTTGCCTAAAAATTTAGATTTACTAAATTAGATAATTTTTTTGGTCAAATTTGAAAAATCCCGCCTAAATTAATGTACATAGTCATTTTGGTCAAAACTTGCGGCTATTATCTTTATTAGTTGCATGGTTTAAATTTGGTACATAATATATTGAAAAAAAAATTATTTTAAATTAAAAATCAAACAAATAATTATTCATAACTTACGAGTCAATATTAACTTCAATGTAAACGAAATAGTCAATTATTTATAGTTTAATAAATTACTCAACTACTTAATTTTTTTTATCTGAATAGTTTATACAAAAATAAATTTATTTTAAATAATAAAACAATATAAATTATATATTTATACTCATTATTCACATTGGTTGTTAAATATATGATAAGACTTTACCAAAATAACTATTTTATCGAATCAGATTATTCGAATTTTTGAATAAAATTTTTGAAATGATACTTACTTTGTAACGAATATAATGTAATTTATTATCAGTTGCGTGCACCGCACGGGTTGTGTACTAATTTTAAATAGACATTTATATGTAATTATCCACAATTTTAACTTTATATAATATTTTCAATAATTAATCTAGGTAAATTTTACTACATATTGGTTTCATATTTTTCATTTATAAATATTATTTAATAAAAATTTTTAATTTATAAATATTAATGAATATTTCTTACCCGTGCACTGCACGGGACTCATACTAGTTTAGTTAATTCATTATGCATATTTAGTTTATTCATGATGCATATTTAGTTAATACGAATGGATATTTGTTATGTTTAAATTAAATATATCATAATGCATATTTAGTTAATTCATGATGCATATTTAGTTCCATAAAATTAATAATACATGTGTCAGAAATTTATGGTTTTATAGGTGGACAACAATTTTAAAATTAACGATTCATACATTTATATCATCAGTTATGTTATGTTAAAATATTATGTTAAAGCTCCAACAAAAAATAAAAAATTAAAAAGGTTAGGTTACACGCCAATTTGTCGCTAAGGATTTTGTATATATTTTACAGGCTTCTTTCACTATCTTCCCACTTGACTATACACACGACACTGTCAAAAGAATATAAGAAAGAAGCAGAAGCTAAATAATTATAAGGTGTAACAAAGCAACAATGGCTTCAACCTCGACCGCCAAGTCCAGCCGGCTAATGATCTCTAAGAATGCAAAAATGGCTTTATCCCGACTACCCTCAGTACAATCAATGTAGCCAACTTCATCTCCAGCAAGCTCTCTGGCTCGAACAACTACCCGTCATGGAAACAACAAATATTCTGCCTCGTCCAGGCCAATAACTTCATCTTCAGCAAGCTAAAAAAATGTTTAAAAAAAATGTCTAAAAAAAATGTCAACATCGGAAAAAGTCAACGCTGGAAAAAGTTAACGTCGTAAATCAACGGTGAATGGTTAAATGGTCAAAATAATATTATTTAAGTAAAGAGTTAAATTGTGGCCACACTCTTGATACATACCCAGTGACTAGGAATGAGTCTCACATTCTTATTTTAAACATGTGTCCTCATTTGTCCTCATCTCCATCGGTTCTCACACTAGGACTTGAGAATGGTAGATACTTAATGAAAAAAATAAAAATGCATCTTAGCCATAAAGTTTGATGATGTAACTGTAAAAAAAAAAATCAACATTTTTACATTCATTACGTATTTTTGGTATTTATACCTAACACAAAAATGTGGTCCCCTTCCACATTAGGTTCTCCACCCTCTCTCAATCTCTCTCCCTCACGCAGACGCACAGAGCACCACGGCGGTTCCCTGCTCTCTCCGGTGAGCATCTGGTTGCCCCCGACCGCTCGAATCGGCTCGACCTTCGCTGCCGTCTTCCTAGGCGGCGACACGAGACGAAAGCAATTAGATCGGCCTGCTCGAGAAGCTCTCCACCTTGAAATTGGCTGTTTGATAATTGAAATTGGCCTGCTGAAGCTCTCCACAAGACCACTTCTTCTACTGATCAATTTCCACGACCTACCTCCGGACACCAGCTCACGCCGTCTCTGCGACCTCCCTCCTGTTGTCGCAGCCCCGGAACCCCGCCGCAAAACTTCCTTCTCTCGCCGCAACATCGAATTAGATGGCGCCGCCATGGACGCAAAGCACGCGACTCTGATGGTGTCCAGGATGTCGACGTACCGGAAGGTGACGCCGCCTCTAAAAATCGGGCCTCCCCGATGGATTTGGAGCTCAGAGCACCGGCGATAAAATCTGATTTTGGTCAGCGACGATAAAATCTGATTTGGGGCATGAGTTTTGAAAATTGGATAATTTTTGAGGATCTAATTGCAATTTCATAATTTTTAATATATTGTAATTTAGTCTATGGGTCAAATTCATAATTTGTCAAAAATTTATTAATTGCACTATAATGTTCATTACATTACACAATATCACATTTGGATTTGCACATTAAAAATATCCGCGTTACAAATTGCACTTTAGTGTCTACTAGATTGCACATTATCATAGCAGTGCATTCTACATAATGACTAAAATACCTTCTCCTGAAAAATCAAAAGTCCACATATTTATAGAAACTAGACCATGTGCATTTGCACAGATGTAAATAAAATATTATAAGTTATTTATATGCATATAATATTAAAATATAAGTTAAATAATGATTATATTTTAAACATAGAATATTATAATAAATATAATATTAAAATTATAAGTCAGATAATGGTATTATGTTTTAAAATTTGATCATTGGTTAAAATATATAGTACATAATGATTTGATTGCATATGAATCACTATATTGATTACATAAAATGTAATAACTAATGTAATATTTTAAATTTTAAGTGATCATGAACAATTAATTATCTAAAAAATATTAAAGTTATTATGACAATTGCTTATGGGATTTTAAGGAATTTTACTATGACATTAAAAAAAATTGTTTATTTAAATAAACAATCGCTTAATCAAATAAAATAATATAATATTGATTTTAGAATAAATAACTTGAACAAAAAGTCTTTACAATATAATTTTTTATGCTTATGCAACTTTCATATATCATTTAGTGTAAAATATAACTATTAATTCTAAAAATAACTGTTATATGATACAATAAAAAATATAATTAATTCCCGATTAATATAAAATGTAACAGTTTTATCTTAATTAACCTAATACAAAGTGCAAGGAAATATTTTATCATTGTTGAGATAGTGTGGATTAGTATAAAAATAATAATAATAATAATCATAATAATAATAATAATGGATTGTAACAGTTATTGGATGAAAAATGTAACATGGGTAAAATTTATTTGGTTTTATTTAATGATTTTTCAGCAATTATACATATATATAGATTGTACGAATAAATGATGGGAGGACAACATATACTCCATGAATTGCAGTAAATAATATTTAATTATTAATTTCAGTACTTAAATGTTTTTGTACCATGATTTTGTACTACAAGAAATAATTGTAATATCATTTGTTAAAAATTTTATTATCATTTTTTCAATTTTAATTATTTTTTAATAGAGGTTATCAAAAAATAAAAATAAAAATAAAAGATGCAAATACTTTGAAAAAAATCAAGAAGACGTTACTATATATAATAAACAAATAAGAAAATGCTATAATATATAATAACAATTAGTAATAACCATAAAAATGTTACCATATTGATAAAGTACTAAAACTTACCATATTGAGCTGAAAATGCATTTAGGTAGGAAAATGCTAGGGGTTTTATTAAATGCTCTGCCACCAATTATATATATATATAGGATGTGGTTCAAATGAGAACCAAATCCTATCGTGAGAACCGTGAGAACCGCTATTTTTAATTGTATCTAGTGCTATGATTGATTGTATTTAGTGCTATTTTTAATCAGGATGTATTTTACTAAAAATAGCAACAGAATTTATGTTAGCATTTGTAAAAATGATAGCACCATGTAAGATGAAAAATAGCATCATACACAATTAAAAATAGCATCAAATATGGTTTTCACGGTTCTCACACCAGAAATGGTTTTTATTTGAACCACTCCCTATATATATATATATATATATACAGAGAGATAGATGCCACCACGTGTTTGCCTAATGTTGGAGCCTTTGACCGAGCCTAGTGCGTTGATATATCATATCCAACGATTACGATTCATTCTTATTATTTTACTATGTCTATTTCTCATATGATCCCAATTTTATATTTATATATACAAAAATTCTATGGAGTCATCGGATGTTTTTCTTATGGAGCCATTTATCACTTAAGGTATTGACACATGTCTAAAGTGTATTTATTGTAGGACACGTGTCAATACAATTTTATGAATAAGTGTGGATGACTCCATAAGTCGTACCATCCAATGGCTCCATAGCAAAACTATATATATTAACGTTAAGTGTTTATAGATATATTTTTCTTATAGAATAGTTTAGATAAAATTCAAGTAATTTCACATTTTTCAAGAATAGATACTATTAAATAGAGGTGGCCAAAGCCCAGGCCGGTTCACGGCCTGGCCTGGCCCGCCAGGTCAGTGGGCCTCAAATGCTGGGCCCGTAACTGGCCCGGCTATATCTAAGGGTCGGTTCAATGAACCGCCGATTAAAAAAAAATAAAAAAAATAAAATTATAATTGTGACTTGTCGGAAAACCCAGGCCTGGTTCGGAATCGGCCCGGCCCGACGGGTCAGAAAGCAGTACAACATGGTCCATAATCGGCGCCCTTAAGGGGTTCCGGGCCAGTTAAAAAACCGGCTAGGGCGAGTCGGTTCATGGGTCGGTTCACGGATGGCCATGTCTACTTTTAAACATATTTGAAAAAAACTTAACACATTCCCTGGATTAAATAGGTATATCTATATATAAATAGGTTAAATTTAAGTATTTAAACATGTTTTTCTTACAAAATAGTTTAGAAAAAATTTAGGTGATTTCACACATATTTCATGAATAATACAGAATATTTTAGAGTATAAGATTTTAGGTATTTTTAATATCTATATATATATATAAAAAAAGAAGAAGATTTATAAAGAATTTGCCGCAAAAAAACTTAAATACATACTTAATCTTATATATAGAATCCCATTTTATTTGTTATATAATATTCGATTTGCATTAATCTTGATTTGTAGTTGGAAAATTGATAAATCAAGTGTATGGACAAATAGCGTACAAAATCCTGTAAGGACTTAAAAAACTAATATTTTGCGGTAAGTACTTGAAAAAAAAGCTAATTTTTTAAATCTTTTCTACTCTAAATTTACACATAAGTTATGTTATAATTGCTCATCATTCTCCGTATCATCTCAATATTTCTTTTATGAGATATATATTATCATCTCAATATTTACTTTATATATTCACAGTTTTGCTATGGAGCCGTCGGATGGCTCGACTTACATAGAATTTATACCATAAAACCATCTGATGACTCCATAAGTGGTAGATGGCTCCATAAGAAAACCATCCGATGACTCCATAAGAAAACCATCCGATGACTCCATAGAATTTTTGTATATATTCAATGTTAATCTTCTCATCTTCTTTAACTAAAGGTAGCGTGAGAAAATATTTATATATATTATTTAGATAATTTTTTACACATGATATCTATATATACACTCACATACACACCTATACATATACGAATCTTTTAAATTTAAATATTTTTAGACATTTTTCCTTAAAAAATAATTTAGAAAATTTTATGTGACTTCACATCTTTTTATATAGTTTTAAACATGTTTTATTTATAAAAATAGTTTAGAAAAAATTTTAGATGATTTCACATCTTCAATAATGATATATAAAATTTTAGATACTTTTACAAACGTTATATAATATTTTATGTGTTTTTAGTATTTTAAACATTCATTTTTTATGTTATTTTATATTGTTTACAACTGATGCACAATAAATTATATCACATATTAACTTTCCATCTTCAATTTATAATTATTAGTTAATATTGTTTACCCTCATCTTTAATTTATTACTAATTAATATTGTTTACCCGTGCCTCGTGCACGGGATATGCCCTAGTCTTTTCTCAAGTGGGAAACTCGTCCTTAAATACAATGTTGCTGTCTTTTCTTTACCTTCAAGGTAGAGAAGACTGATTATGGTATAAAATCTAACTTAATAAATACAAACGACATATATGGTAATGAAATATATGTAATATATTACAAATCATATATCATATATAATAAATACATAGAAACTAATTAGTTACCAAGTAGAGAATAAAAGAACTTTCCTTTAAATTTTTGTTTGTCTAATAAAAAAAATCATAAAATCAATTCTTATTAGATTTGTCGATGCGAAACCACTAATTTAAAGTAACGGACCAAAACCAACGAAAATGTAATTGCAATAGAAAATTAAAATGGACATAAAAGAAAACATATAGTTGTAATGGAAAATTAAAATACCACTTTTAGCTAGTTTAAGCTTTTTGATAAAAAAAAAAAGGTTGTGAAAGTAGAGAGGTATGGAGATCATAAAAATTATCTCGTACTAATTTAATGTCCATTTTGTTTTTTTCCTTAAACTCGTGTCCCAATCTCTTATTTATACAAATCCTCAAGTACAAACTTCCATGCCCCCTCCCAATATACTCTTTAATTTGCATCCTCTTCTCAGCCTCCCGCTAGACTAGACATGGTTAAGTTCTCGAAAGAGCTTGAAGCTCAACTTATTCCCGAATGGAAGGACGCATTTGTCAATTACTGGCAGCTCAAAAAACATGTCAAAAAGATTAAGCTATCAAGAAAAGCTAATAAGCATGTGCCCGATAACAAACAAGATTTTGGGCGGTCTATTTTCGACCCAATTCGTGTTCTTGCCGGAAGAATAACTGGTGGGGCCAGTGATCGTAACCTGGAAATCATTCAGGTGATCAAATTCAAATCATAATGTTTGTTATTGAATATTTAAATTTATTCCAAGAGTTATGTGACCAAACTTGCCTGAAAAGGTGGCAGAAAAATGGTGAAAGTTTTTGAGTTTTTTCGTTCTTTTTATTTATGTATGTATATATTTAATTTATTTACTCTTTTGGACGAGATATGTGCGCAATATTCTTTGAATTTGCCAGTGTTTTGCAATATATTTTTGCCGTTTATAAATACTACACAATTTAAATGCCATGATTATTCCTTTCTGAAAAAGATTTATCAAAATGAAATGGATTTGCATGTTATAATGTTCTTTTTGGATTTACCAAAATCACTGATCACAAAATTCCTAGAATTTGGAACAAAGCTCAAATCTTTGTGACGTCATAAAGTCTTTATGTTTATTAAAATGTTCCGCTTTTCCAATGAGCCGAAGCAGGAAAGTTGTTTCGTGCCACTGTGCATATCATGGGGAAATCGTGAAAAGGAGAAACAAATTTAACAACCCGAAAGGGACACAATCAAATTAATTAATTAATTAACTAATTAATTAATAAACTCGCAAGTATGTATTATGCTGATCATGAGTCGTTACAAAAACTAATATTTCCTTAATTGTGCAGGTTAAGAATAGAATTGACGTGCAAGATGAAGACGAAAAAGAAGTTGAACTGTATGAAACCGAACTAGTTCAACTATTTTCTGAAGAGGACGAGGTAATTAATCAATTAATTAATTAATCAATTAATTAATTAATTATAATATTATCAAACAATTAAAATGGATTTATAGGAGCTTTCACAAAAGCTCGTAGCATAGCTACTCTTGGACTAAGTTTTGACCTAACATTAGGCCGACCCTATTAAATTAGAGCTGTACTGCGCCAAAAATTGATCCCAAATCCGACACGTATAAAAAATATCACCGCACAATATATTTGTCCCCGAACATTAAATTTTTTGTTTCTTTTTCACTATTAAAGTATTTTTCATTTTTTCTATATATAGTTTAAGTTATATTCTCTATGCAGAAAAACTTGGGCATAGAGTTTGGCTACCGTTACAAGCAATAAGCTTTAAGAACTTAAATTAATTTATTTAAATCAAAAGTTGTATTAATTATTAACGTGTACGTTGTAACAAGAAACAAAAAATGGCCTAATTTTGGGTTGTTTTTATGTGCATGGACAGGTTAAAGTGTTTTTCGAGAGTCTAGACGATGAGCTTAATAAAGTAAACCAATTCTACCGAACTAAAGAGACCGAGTTCCTTGAAAGAGGAGATATATTAAATAAGCAGCTACAGATTTTGCTCGACCTCAAGCGCGTTATCGGCAGTCGATGCCGGAAAACCCAAGCCGCCAGGTCATCGGGCGGCAGTTCAGGCTTTCTCTCTCGGACTAGCTCACCGTCTGGCCGGAATTCGGATTTTTCCGGTGAGTTTGTCAACTCTATGAGTGCAATGACTTTTACTTTCATTAGCAAAAGTGAAAGATAATCAATAATTTTTATGATATAAAATGATGTGATATAAAAAATAGTAAAAATGTAATTATTGATCATATTTATTGAAATTAGCATCGCTGCATAGTCTTGAATCAAAGTAAAAACAAAGTTATTATGTTACGTGTGCAAGTTCAATTTACTGAAATTCGGTGCTAAAAGCTAAGTAGTGGACGGCCCAAATGGAAAATGAAATTATTATTTACTCCACTATAATCCTGTTGATCTTATTGAGGGGTGCTTATTTATTTATTTTATTAGAAAAGGTATTGGAGTGTACGAAACATACTATAAATTGACCATAAAAATCTCAAGTAATTATTAAAGATAGTTGCGTCCATTGAAAATTTGAGATTGGTATAGAAGTCCTACACGACTTTGCACTACAAAAAATTAAAATTGTTGGTGTATCAATTTGGGTGGGAAATTTCAGTGGCAACGGGCCAGTGAAAAAAGAACCCATTTAAAAGCCCATAAATGAAACATATCTTTATGTTTTCATTTTTTATTAATGACTCAAAAAATTTGGAGGAATTAATTTTGTTTTGACATATAATTTTTCACAATGTGATTTTTTCTTCGCGTTTTACGGCCAAATTAAACGTTTGACCCGTACCTCAAATTTATAGAGCTTGGTAAATAGTAATTTAATAGTATAACTTTTTAATACAAAAAGTTTTTTTTTTTTAATAATTTGATTATCTAATCGTAGTTTTCATTAATTCAGAAAGTCAGAGTTCTGAATATTGTAACAGCCCAACAGATTCCCAAACAGAAGATGTAATTGGTGCACTTGAAAGAAATGGCATTAATTTCGTAAACTCGGCCACAAGGGAAAAGACTAAAAAGGGCAAGCCGAAAATGGCCATGAGAATTGATATTCCGGCCACCACGCCCACACGAACTATAGCCGCGCTTACATCTATGCTATGGGAGGACTTAGTTAATAACCCCAAAAAGGGCGCAAATAGTGGAGAGTACATTAATCGGAAAAAAATTCAATGTGCTGAGAAAATGATAAGAGGGGCATTTGTGGAACTCTACAGAGGACTTGGCTTGCTCAAAACATACAGGTATTATTATTATTATTATTATTATTATTATTGTCCCTATATATTATAATGGTTTAATTTTAAGACAAACATATAATAGAAATGTGAAAGATTTGGAAATAATCACATATTATTTCATTTTTCCAGTCAAAATTGAACACATGATAGTGTCGCATGATGTAACAAACCTCTCCTAAGACAGCCTTTTTGGCATGAACAAATGTGCCTTTTCAACTCATTTTCATACTAACCGCAAAGTCTCAAATGATACAAAACATGCATGGGTAAGGAAATCGTTTTGGAGGGACAAATATAAAGCAATTAAAAATATGCAATTAAATTACTTTTCAGTTTCTCCATGCAAGTGTTAGTAGTCTTAATTTGCGTGTTCTGATGAGTTTTGAGTGTGTTTTGGCAGCTCACTCAATATGGTGGCCTTCACTAAAATACTAAAGAAATTCGACAAGGTACAATAATTAGTTAACTAGGTATATATTCAGGATTTATATATATATATATATATATATATATATTTTACTAATAAAAAAGTTTTATATTTATTGTTGATTGTGCATTTTCCATTAAATTATTATCAGGTGTCAAACCAGCAGGCTTCAACAAGTTACCTCAAAGTGGTGAAGAGATCCCATTTCATTAGCTCAGATAAGGTAAGTTTAGATACTAAGAATACTATTATATACTAATGGTAATAATTAAATTAAAATTCAGAAACTTGTGCTTATGCAGTTAGAATGCTAAACTAGTCCAATCTCTATAGATATTTTATTGAAGAAAATGATAGGATTGACGTATTAATTAATTGGAACGGTCAAAATTTCTTGCTATGTATGCAATATCCATAAAATTGTAGTATATATTGCTTAAGATGTGAATTCATATAATAAATTCAACAAGATTGACCCATTTAATTAAACTTCAGGATCATAGAGTCTGATATATATCTTCAATTAGTTGGTTGAAGGTCTACTTTTACGAGAAATGTTGGAATAAAGAAAATTGTCGGTACATAAAGAGTGGCTTTCCATGAATTGTTAAATGTATTGCTGAGTAAGATAAAAGTTCCAAACCGAATTAGAGTGTGGCATCAGTCAATTCATGTTTATCATTCATTTTATTTGGAGTTAGACTACATTATTCTTACTAATTCTAAATTATTTAATTATTTAATTAATTTTCTTACTACATATTATATAATTTTAATATTTGGTAAGTAGGTAGTATTGTAGTTAGACTACATTGGCATTGAAGATAATTTTTTAATTTCATAATTGTAAACTTAATATTTTTCCTACATGGTTCACAATGCATATAATTTATTAACATTTGTCAAAAGTTGTCTTATAACAATATTAGAGCATTGAAGATGCTCTTAGCAATTAATTTTATTTTAATATTCATACATGCCGTGGATGCACGGGTCTTTAATATAAAAAAATAATTTAATATTGATTTATTCATTTAATTTATTTATAAATCATTAATGAATCTATCTAGGTATACTATCGACGATCAAAGAGATCTGTTACTATTAATTTAAAAATTTAGTTTATATTAATTTGATAATCGAAAGATGACTCAATAATTAATTTGGGGCTTCAAAGATAAAATATAATAGTAATCAACATGTACATTTGCACAAAGAAGAATACTTTAAAAAGATAACAATATAAAAAAATATCATAATTTAATTTATGAAAAAAAAAATTTAAGAAAATAATTCTCAAAATTAATTTTGATCAAGTAATTACTATGGAAGAACCGTTATAACCATTTTCTTTATGCTAATACAATCGGCCATTTTTATGAGTGGGTGTGACTTAAAATTCGAGTACAGTTTTGTAACTCCCTTGATTGGTTTATGCTCATAATTTATGACATTCAAGCAAGTTATTTTGTAGCTTAAAAATGAAATTGAATGCTGAAAATTTTGGAGGGAGGATAAAATTTAATGCATGATAATAAAATTAAATGCTTTATTGCTCCTCTTTATATATATAGATTGTTTAGAACTCGAATGATTTAAAATTATTAGTTGAAATCACTAAAAAGTAAAATATATTTTATATTTTTTATTTATATTGAAATATTCTTATTTATAGGTGATATATTTTCTATAAATGTCATGATATATTAAAATTTGCTCATATATTTCATATCATTTTAAATTTTGTAATTTTTTTATTTATATATATCTTTCAAAATTATTTTCAAAATATTAAAATTGATAGTTTAAATATTTTAAGCATGAATCAATAAATTTAATCATTCAAAAACATAATGGATAGTTTCATATCTTTAGATATCAGACGATAGAAATTATCTTCCAAAGTCTGAATTAACTGTTGACTCATTTTCAAGACTTCGACTCATAATACTAATTTTTTTTCATAATTAGTATAAAATACATGTTATATAGATTATGGTTTTTATTCTCAAATTAATTATTTGCATAGTGGCTGAAAAAGATCTGTTAATTTATCATTTTAAACTCATCTATTCGATGTTTTAAATTGTTGTAAAGAACCATTTTTATATTATTAACAGAGTTTAAATCTATATCATATATTGAGTGGTGTATAATTACAAAGATCTAAAATTAAAATAATTTATTTATTAGTTAAATAAAAAAAAAAGAGCATGGAAAGAAAAATTGGTTTTATTCCTTCATCAATCCGAGTTTATGTTAACCGTGCCTTATGTATAATTACTTATTTGATTATTAGTTATTTATATGACTTGCACCATGAATAAATAGTCAAACAAGTAAACTAATTTATAAANGTGGCACTCAATTTCGGGGATAAAATCTCTCAATCTATATGATTATACACCTATTTCAAGAGACTCCCAATATTCATCTATATGAATACTACTATAATTTTGAAACAAGTATTCATTTTAAGCAAAACAATAAATATATAAAATAAAATTTATGTTATTTTTTTACGATTTTTAGTAAATGATTAACTTTATATACATAAATAGATTATATATATATATAGATAATACACTATAAGTGTTGATATTTTAAAAAATTACTACTAATTACAAAATACTTTTTTAATTGATCTGTTATGGTTAATAAAATCATTACTGGTTCTTCAAAAAGATTAACTGATATATTATACGTAATGAAAATCTTAGTTATTTTGATTTTTTTTGAAGAAAAATTTGGAAAGACAAAAAAAAGGAATTGGTAAAACTAAAAACTATGATATCAATGTTTTTCATGGGAGAAATAATAGGCCAAAAGAAAAAAATAAATTTACGGAACCCGAAAATTCCCCATAAATATATGCTAAAAATACTACTACCTACATAATTATGAGAATCAATGATAGATGGATATATATCCATTTGGATACGATGTTATATCAGTTAAATGATACTCTCTCCTATTCATAATAAATGTCGTTTTGGAAAGTTGCACATTAATTAAGAATAATTTTTTTGTCAATAATAACCCTCATTAATGAAGATAGAGATAGATATGTTAAAAAAAAAAAAGATGAAGAGAATATGAAAAGACGTAGTGTATTTATTAACTAAATGAGAGTAATAATGAAAAAATATGTACAAAAGATCCAAAACGACATTTATTTTAGTTAATAGTTGATAAAGCCAAAATGACATTTAAAAAGAATAGGAGGTAGTATATCTTAAACATATTCAATGTAACTATAGAAATTAGAGTAAGTCAATAATTATTACTTATATACACCGATTGTTTGGATAATACATAACAACTTTCTTTTAGTAGTAATACATTTTTTTTTTTTTTATGGGAAATAGTTACTATTTCAATTAAACTCAAACCTCTTTTTACATAAATATGGATTTGCTATAAATACTTATTTCTTTTCATATATAAATGCATCCTGTTGTGAGACGGTTTAACTGTTAAACATATTAGTCCGTCATGCATTTGAAAATAATAAATGCATATTTTAATTGAAAAATGACATACTTTTTTAGCATTAAAGCATGACGTTTTACATATGTCGTTTCACTGTGTAATTACGCCAAACATGTATGTCTAACACCAGTCTTACGATTCAGTAATTAGTTAGGCCGCAGTCCGAAAATCATACAATTTATTAATAAACATGCATATATTCATGCTTGAATGTTATATAATTAAAAAATAAATAATAATAATATGATATTTTACGATATAAATATATATATTTTTGATCAAAAAGTGTAAAGACTAGATCCGTCTAAATCATTGGGTAGATTTGTTTTTTGTGTCACCCATTTTGTCTTGTTGATGAACAAAGATTGGAGAATATATAATAATCATTTTCTTTCTGTTAAAAAACTAATTTGTGTTCAGTAAAAGAATGATGAACATAGATTGGAACGGTGATCATTTTGTTTGTCATAAAAAAATTCTAATATTCTTATCATTCTTTTAAATACTGGTGTTAGTGGTGTAATAATTAATTATGGGGTTGATAAGCAATGGTTTATTTTATTTATGTGATATAATCCTTATCGTTCTTTTAAATACTGGTGTTAGTGGTGTAATAATTAATTATGGGAATGTTAAGTAATTGTATATTTTATTTATGTGATGGTTTAAAGGTTGTAAGGCTAATGGACGAAGTGGAGTCCTTATTCACACAGCACTTTGCCAACAATGACCGGAAAAAGGCCATGAAGTTCTTGAGACCCCAACACCATAAAGATTCTCACATGGTTACTTTTTTTGTTGGTATGAGTTTATAATTCAAC